AAAATGTAAGATGTTAGGGTCTGCGAGCATGTTTTAAAGTGCCTGCATGCAAGCTGTAAAGATCTGAGGAATGCTGCTGTTATATTAAGACTTCAAAGGTTCAGATTTTACCATTAATCGAATTTAAACTTCCTGTGGTTGTTCCCTAAGTACAGACTTAAAAGTGCTTCTCAGGGTGCTGAGAACATCTCTGTCGGATCTATATATCCAGCCCTCTGGACAGAGGAAGGACTGCTACTGCTTTTAACTCAGAAACATTTTGGGGTCGCCAAGCTTTTCCTGTGACTCAAAGATGTGGGTCTACAGACTTTTCCACAAAGAGGATTTCAGTGCAAATTACAAACAATGGTAATGCTAGTACAAGTAAGTGTTTTGTTTTGTTTCCTTTTCTTTTCTCTTTTGAAAACTTAAGAAGTTCTTGTCAGCTACAAGGAGTCATGACTTGGGTCCACCTGTCACAGGTCAGACAGACTACAGACAAGTGCTTCTACTCGCCAAGAGCCTGAGCTTCCCCACCTACTGCCAATTCCTGAGGGTGAGGTCCCTCTCTCCTTCCCCCTCCCTGCAGCTACCAGGGCCATGGGCCTTAAAGTTTCAAGTGTATACCCAAGATAAAGATGCTCAGGGGCCCTGATGAAAGGACAAAAGGGACCTAATTCTGTGTCCTTTCTCAGGGGTGGACTTGCTTTCTGTTCCAGGGACTTGGCTTTTACCCCTGAAGAGACTGGACTTATCAGTCCCAAGGTCGCTGTGTGCTCTGTCTTAATGTTCTTGAGATACCCTGTTCCCCTTTAGCAACATGATTAGCTTCCCTCTGACTTAGTCCCATTTTATGATAGTTTCTTCTGGCTCTGTCCCATTTCTTCCCTGGAAATAGCATATAAGATACTGAACTTCTTTAGACATTTGCTTGGCATAAGACACAGCTTGTGCAAGACTTCCTGACCCCAAACTGCCTTATCTTCTCTGTCTTCTGTCTTCTGATCCCCTGGTCCCCTCGAAACCCTGTCACCAAAGAAACCTGCTCATCCAAGGCACTGCCCCCAGCCTGCATTGCCTTGTCCTAGACGACAGGCCAGTTGCAGGCAGCGTGGCTCAGGATGCAGGCTCTCATCAGTCTGCCTGTCACTGCTTCCAAACCCACTTCCACCACCATTGCTTGGCTCTGAGGACACTCTTGGAGGTAACAGTGGCAGGCTACTGTAGACTGACGTCGCAGAGGCAGGGAACAGGACACAACAGAACACTACCCCATTTCTAGTCTGGATTCTTCATTTTCTGCAGTCAGTTTCCCATGGACTTGGGGAAACGGGTTTTGAACCACTTCCTTCAGGCCTGTGTGCTTGCCAGATAACAAACCTAGAAGTCTGATAACTGCTACACTGAGAAAGTCTGGCAATGCCAGAAACATAGGGGTCATTGTGTCCATCCTGTACGTCCTAAGAACCCAGCTGAGGCCCAGGAGGCAGAAGGGAATGTTCCAGGTCAGGCAGCAGATTAGAATCTCAACGTCTGGGTGGCTGATGTAAATGACAGTGCTCTTGGCTCAGAACAAAGGTATACCCAGGACTCCTGGGGAACCTTATGAGATTGTTTTTTTTCCTCTTGAAACCAGGGCTTACTGAATGATTCTTCCCAGCATGGTGCAGAGTGCAGACTCAAGCATTGTGACATTTTCCAAGGTCCCCATGCCGGGGGCTTGTAGTTGCTCGCACAAGGTGGAGCTGGTAGATCCAAATGTGGAGCAGGTATGACTAAGAGGAAATTATCTTGATAGATATCAGCCCAGCAAGCCCCTGCATGCCTCCAGAATGCTTTCCTTGTCCTCCTACATGACTTCAAGACTGAATTTTCCCCTCTTCTAGGTCTAATGTTGATGTATCAACCCCAAGGACATCAGTAGCCTCATCTACTAATAGGGTCCTTGCTGAAGATGTAATTAGTTAATACAAGGTCATGCTGGATCAGGATGGTTCTCTAACCCAACATGACTGTTTCCTGTGTGTGTATGTGTCTTTCTGTGCGTGTGTGTGTGTGTGTGTGTGTGTGTGTGTGTGTGTGTGTGTGTGTGTATCAGGGGACATGGTTCAGGAGCCATCTACTCTGCTCTTTTGAGATAGGGTCTCTTATTGGCTAGGAGCTACAGAAAAAACTTCTAAACTAAAACAACTGGTGTATTTCAAGGATGTTATGACCTCAGTCTGGAAACCAGGATATGTGTTACGTTGGGGGAGGGGTTTTGCCTTTGTTTGTTTCCACAGGAGAAGAAAAACTTTGGATTCCATCAAAATCAATCAAGATTCAATCAAAACAAATGACACCTCAGGAGGAGGAAAGATGACAGCTCATCTACAAGGTCATAATCTACCATGGGTAAGGTGACCTCATAAAAGGAAAGAGAAGTGTTTTGTTTTTTTTCTTCACTGAAAAACTCAACAAAAAAATACTAGGCATATGGATACCTAAAGAAAAATGGATAGCTACCCTGAAGACCATCAAACAAACAATAACTCACTGTGTGATATCAAAGTCTAAATCTCTCTATATTGTTTTTTTATAATACCCATTTCTCTTTGTTTCTTAATATGCTTTAGTCCCCATTCATTTAACTGAAGCTGGCTTTAGAGTTGGATTGGCTCTCCTACTCTAAATCCAAGCATATTGTTTAAATAAAATTAAAAATTTCTGTATTATATCAAAGAGCCATTGATATAAGATAAAAAAATTAGGGACTGCCATCTGTGAATTTCTTTTTCTGAAAGTCTAATCTCCTTCATGTTTACTATCTTCTTTATTGTTGCCTTTCCCAGTATTCATACATACAAACATTAAAAATTTCTTTGTTAACATTAGTGTTTGAGTTTTCTAGAGAACAAAAAACTTCCTGACAACAATCTTCAACCACTTCAGAAAGAAAATTGGGCCCCACATCGACTCCACCTTATTCAACTTGATGCATTTGAACCCTTCCACATCATCGACTCAACCTGACAAGTATCATCCTAAAACTGGCTTGAAACTACATCACTCGACACAACTGCAGACCAAGGAATTGATACAGTGCACCTTCTACAATCTGACTAGAGCTTCAGACAAGAGCTTCAATAAACAATGAAACTCCAGTCAAGAACTTCAATCAAGCATCTCCTGCCAAACAGAGACTATCTAACCTACTTAAGATTCTTGTTACACTAACATTTTTCTTCCCACAGGTTCCCTTGAGATTGTCATCGTCCCATTTCAACAAGAAGTAGTTTTGAGAATTCCACGCCCCCTCTCCCTACTGTTGATATTGCAAGATAGTTTACACCTGTTAGTGTTAGTTTTCAATTATTTTAGGGTTGGGATTAGAAGGAGGTGTTCAAACTTGGGTATTTCTTTTAGATAAGCTTAGGCTTAGATGGGATAGATGTTTGAGACATTTTGTTCATTGACACAAGGTAGTTTTGTTTTAAGCTTGAAATCTTCTTTAGACTAAAAGGGGAATTATAGGAAGAGACATTAGGACTGCTAGTCATGCCCACTTTGGGCGTGGCTAGAGGCTTGTACGGAGGAGTTAATAAAAGGCGCTACAGGAGAGAGGCACGCTCTCTTTCTGGCTTCCAGTTCTGTGACGAAAGCTACTGACTCACCTTGGTTGCCTGTTTTCTCTTGTAAGTAATTTCTACAATAAACAGTTACTTATACTCTCAACAAGTGTGCCATTTATCATTACAGCGACACCTGAGCAACTAAATATTTGTCTGATACTAGGCATAGGTGATGCAAACATAACTCAGTAAACTTCCATTCATTATCTTTCTCTTTACTCATTCATTCATGCATGCATGCACTCATTCATTCATTCTTCTGTCTGGGCCTGTGCTATACGGATTACCTAAAGCCAGGGGAGCTTTGGAAATTTGGGAATAACAAGGCCCTGTCTCTAAGATGCTCCATCTGATAGGCTGTAGGGTAAGGTGGGGAGAAAAGTGATGCTCAGGCTAGCCAAGAATGATGACGGAAAGACAGTCTGGCTTGAGGAGGCTTACAAACCACCTTGGTCCTGTGTGGGTTCTCAGACAATGGCTGCAAGAGAGAGGCATGGAGATGAGAAGCTGTAGTAGAAGCGGGCAATGAAAGAGACCTGTGATTAAAGTTACATGACACACTGCAGGAGAAGCGGCACGCGCCAGGCCAGAGAGGCCGTGGCTGTTCGTAGAAAGCTTTGAACTTGTATTCAATAGGGAGCCGCACAGCATCAGCAAAAGGAGGCATCGTTCTCCCTGATCTGAGGGCGAGGCACTTTCGTCTTCTCTGCTGTGTCATACCGGGGTCTCACGAAGTCACGCGTCACTCTGGCAGGGTCGTTGCCATAGCAAACCTAGACGGGCTCCCAGCTTGCCTTCTTCTATTCACTCACCCATCTGTGAGTGTTGAGAGGGGCATAAGCCAGCCTGGGCCTGACTTTAGTTCCAACAGGGATGCTGAAAACCAGAATCCAACTTGTCCTGGGCTCAGCCACGCAGTTCTGGGAGCTGCAGGACCTCTTGAGTTCTAAGCCCTTCTATGTGCTTGTGAGTATAACCTGGAGGAGGGGTACTGAGCCCCAGAACTATCCCTCTCGGCAATGTCCACCTATGGGACCCTCCCCTGTCAGTGTTCTCCTGAGGCTGCCTTGGGTCCTGTTCAAAGCTGTGTTTTAGAGGCCTGACTGGGGAACAGCCTCCTTGGTCTTGCCCTTGCCGCTTCCCTTGGCAACACTTTCTGTTGTGAGCTGAGGGGTTATTCCAACCTCTTCCTGGGCTTGTGGCTTCGCTAGGGCCATGACCATTTCCCATAGTCCCTAATGTACTCTGACTTTTGAATGGGTGTCAGCTGGAGGGGGCTCTCCAGGTCACCAGTGACCTCTCTGTCTTTGTGAGTTGATGCTTCTTATATGTCACAGATGAGAGCTATTCCTACCCAGCCCTCCTGAACCACTGCTCCTGCTGGCAACACACCAGCTAGTCCTGGGACAGCTATGTTGTGGGGTTGAACACCTTTCCCATGAAGAGGATACTCTTGGTGCTGGTGGAATATATCACTGTGAAGAATGGCCAGGTGAATACGAGGACACGTTTCTTGTGCTGGGTGGATAAAAAGGTGACAGAGACACTAGCGGTTGCCGCAGCCTCCATGCCGACTTCGTTCACATCCAGGGTGGCCTTGTGGAAAACCTAAGAGAGAAACAGGCTTCACAGCCTCTCAAAAGTGCACAGTAACGACAGATGTCACTCCTGAGCCCCTCGGTGTGCCTCTCTGTATTTATGTCACCTCCTAGGAGGTCAGCATCATTGTGGCCACTTTAGGGATAAGGATAATTAAATCAAAGATCAGGCAGTATCCCAAGGCAAGGAGTAAAACAGAAATCCAGAGTCCTCTCGTAGGGTGAACCGTTACTATGTCTACTCCCCACGTGTAAAGTAATGGATCTCTGGCTCTCCTATGAAAATACGCCAGTACAGGCTTCAGCCCCTCCCCCCTTTGCTGTCCCTATAGTGCATTCTTCACTCCCCATGCCTCTGACCTACCCTCAGTTCCAGACCCCTGGCCTAACCCAGAAGTGTCTGAGGGCATGGGTGGCCATTGTCATATCATCTCCCCACTGAGACTATGTCCCGCCACTGGTGTGCTGCTGGGTGTGTGCTCATACCCGTGGAAGACTGAGCATACTCAGAAACTGCATGGTAGCAGGGAGGGTCTCTACTGCCCCCTCCTTCTCAGGGGCAGAAGTCTCTCAGACAGATCTACAGGGCTGATGACACTTTCTTACTTACTTTGGATAACTGCAATTTCTCTTCTTGGTTGATATTCGAGAAGTCAGTGTGCTGGGTGGACAGGTCCTGGAAGCCCAGGTCAGGAAAAATCTTGTCCACTTGTCCAGTGCATAGGAGTTTGCAATAGAGAATTTGGGAAACTGCAAAGAGAGGAGACATGTTAGATATTCTCTCTCTCTCTCTCTCTCTCTCTCTCTCTCTCTCTCTCTCTCTCTCTGGTGAGGTAGGCTGGCTAGTGTGCAAACCCCTGTCCTCTGGGTTTACAGGCACCTGTCACAACCCCCGGCTTTAAAAAACTGAGTTCTCTCTATTGTCTGAGCCAGCTCCTGAAGCAGCCGGGCCCTGTTGATCTGGGCCTAATTCAGAAGAAAATGACTCTACTCCACTTCAGTTTGGCTTCCAGAAGCACCCATGAGGCTGACAACACCTCCGCTAGGTGCCTATAGTGGTGGCAGGCCCCAGATGTCTACTTAGCCATCTAGAGGAGTGATTTTTTAATTGAAACATAATTACACCATTTCACCCGTCCTTTTCCCTTCTCTAACTCCTCCTCTTAGCATTTCTTGTATGTGTATGATTTCAGGGCTGACCACTTGGTATTGGACAACCAATTAAGGGGCTTCTCCTCTGGCGAAGACTGACCCTCCTCTGAGCATTCTTGAGTTGCCTGCAGTTTATCTGGTGGAATTACTGCCTTTGGACACCCCTCTTCCCTAGAGGCTGCATTGTGGAGGGATGCGGGTACTCTAGGAGACAAGTGCCAGCCCCTCCACCCCATGGGTCACATCTGCTCTGGGCCAGCCGACGTCTATGGGTTGATGCCCTGTCTCAGCTGAGGTGAAGCCCGGCCTGAATGAGGCCTCTGCCTTGTCTTTTGCTTCCGTATGACTAAAATCACCGCCACTCAGGGCTTCAGTATGAGGGGAAGCTGTCTTGTTTAAAGCAGCAGGTGCCCAGCCGATCTGAGCCTTCCTCAGAAGGAAGCCATTGCCTTTGTTTTCATCAGAGTCTGGCTTCCAGAAGCACCACTGTGAGGGTGCCTGGTAAATAGGTCCTGGAAACCCAGGCTGGGCAAAGTCTCATCCAGTGCACAGTAATTTGAAATGGAGAATTTGGAGAACTGCAACAAGATATTTCTGTAACCGGACCTGAGGGGCCCTGGGGGGGGGCAGGATACTTTCTCTTCCTCCCTCCTCCCTCTCTTTCTCTCTGTGCATGAACCTGGGTGGGTGGATAGAATTTTCTTAACCCTTCTACATCAGCTCAGTCATCTAGCTGGGGGGGGCAATGCTCATATTCATTGCACAAAGTTTGACCCTTAGAGGTAAAGTCACTCTACCCAAGGCCTGTGCAACAGAAGAACTCAAGACCATAACTCTAGAGAGGTTCTCTCAAATGAGAGCAGGACCCTGGGCTAACCACCATGGGAGAGTTCGCTGTCTAAAAAGATAAGGCAAGTCTCAGAGCCAGGGCCAATGCCTTCACAGGATAGTGGTCAATCCAGTTTCTGGCCACTGAGTTTCATGAGAAGGGCCCATTTGTAAATGGCACTGTAGATTGAATACCATGTAACATCTTGATGACCTACTCTGAAGCAAGTGGTTCCACCTTTTTAGCATGCCTGGGGACAGCACCTGCTCTGCCTCCTCCATCCTGCCCTCTTGAGGAAGGATGAAAAATGCCACAGCATGGCCTTTGTAATCCATCCGCAGCACCGTGCAGGGCACATGTCTTTCATCAAGAAACCAGTTTCTGCTCATCTCGCAGCATCATGGACACCTTCAGGACCGTGTTCCTATCTACGTAGAAGTTACTGTCGAAGACTTCCGAGGAAGGAAAGGGTTTCTTCCACAGACCTGAGGGATAAGGGAGACAGAGAAGCCAAATCTTCCTTCAGGGAGTGCCACCTGCATCCCAGAGCCATGGTATAACCACTGAAGACCCTTCCTCATTGTTGTGGCACCCCATTCAAGCCATCTAGGAGGAATGGTTGGTCTGATCGGCAGCTTGGTTCAACTGAGAATCATCTAGGAGAGTGATTCTCAACCTGTGGGTCACCACCCCCTTGGCAAACCTCTATGTTCAAAAATATTTACATTTTGATTCATAATAGTTAACATTACAGTTATGACGTAGCAACAAAAATTAGTTTATGGTTGGGGTCACCACATGAGGAATCGTGTTGAAGGGTTGCAGCATTAGAAAGGTTGAGAAGCACTGGGCTAGACAGATATGGGCACAGAAGTTAGGTGCACATGTTGCTTTTCCAGAGGACTGGGGTTCGATTCCCAGAAACTAGCTGGTGGCTCACAACCAGATGTAACTCCAGTTCCAGGTGATCTGATGCCTCTGATTCTGGCCTGCACCTGTACTTACAGGCATATACCCCATACAGACATACAACTAAACAAGCAAACAACAACAAAAACAACAAACCCAACAAAATGAATCTTTGAAAGGAAGTTGTTTTGGGGTGGTCAGTGGTGTGTGAACACGCCACATGTGGCACACAGGTGTGGTGACTAATTTGCCTGGGTGATTGTCTGGGAATGTTTGCATTTTGCTCCTGGTGGATCCTGAATCAGAACCAGTTACAAGCTGAGATCTGGAGCTGTGGAGATCACACAGGCTATAGAGGCTCTGCCATAAAGTTTCATGACTTGAGCGTTACCCTCAGGACACACGTGATGAAAGGAGAAAACCATCTCCCACACCTCCACATGTGTGCTGCGGCACGCACTCACCCCTCCAAAGTAAACATAAAAAGCTGAGTTTGAAAGAGGACTAGCTCTGTTGAGATCCCAAGGTCCTCACAAAATGGGACCATGGAAACAGCTAGCAGTGCCTGGGTGCCACAGCCCACCCTTGCCTACCTCCCAGCAGGAGCATATGCTCGGCAGTGGCCTGGCGCCTTGTTGAGCTCACCTCGGAAGAGGACATAATTTATCAAACCATCCTAATGTCGGGGCTCAGGCCACTAACCAAATCCTTGATCTTGCCACGGGTTTTCTCCTTGACATAGTTGTTGATGAGCCAAGTCATAGGCTCTGCATGTCTCTGAAGTTACTGCGAAAGACTTTGCTGTTATGGGAGGCTTCAGCAGTGTTGACAGATTCAGGGCAGAGCTGCAGGTCCTGGTTCAGGACCAGTGCATTGCCTACAGAGATGTCCAGCTCAGCAGATGGACCACCTATCACTTGAAGCACGGACCTGAAGCCATCCTGGATTTCGGGCAATGGCAGCTTCATGAGATTGAAGCCCAGGCCTTCAAGGATCTGAGTCTGGGTGTCCCCTCCAGCCCCCGTGGACAGCACAGCCAAGGTGATGGAGATGCTGAGTGGGGAGAAGAAAATGTTCTTCTCAGAGTTTTGGGATGCTATCAGGTGGTAGAGGCTGAAGGCAAAGTTGGCATTGCCATGGGCAATCTGGTAGCTGGAGATGTTCAACTGTGAGAACCCTCTGTCGGTTTGGTTGGCGGTGTTGTCAGACTCCTGGGCTGGCTGGCTAGCTATGAGAAAGCATCAGGTGTCCAGCCAGGAGAAGGAGTAGGCAGTGAGTGCAATGCATGCTGGATCTCTCAGGTCTGCAGAGAAAATGATACCCCGTCCCCAAGGCTATTGCAGCAACAGATAGGAGCCCTGCATAGCTGACATTAGCAGGCATGGACACAGACGTGGGGAGATTCAATCACTAGGTAGGGAGTTTTAGGGGCTAACACCTATGCTTGTTTGGGATGGCCCTGTAAATGACGGTACATCATATTACGTGTAAATGCAAATATCCATTTAAATTGCTATGTTCCTTTGCTTATTTCAAGTGAGGTTCTCCTCAGGAAAACATCAAGGAACTGGTTTAAGCTAGTTGGAGCTGTCCATTCCCTCTTTACTGACCTAGAATTAACCTCACACTAGAGATAAATTCTGTGATTTTTCCAAATCAAAATCCAAAGATTTTCCTGTAAGGCATCTTTGAACACACAACATACAATCCCTTCTACATGTAATAACAGGTCTTTCCAAAGAGAAGATGCCTATGTCGCCGGTGTGTTCCGGAGTTAGCCCCTCCACTCTTATTATTGTCTGATAAAGCCCCTCTGCTCTCCTCTTTCTCCATGTTTATTGGCTTTTCACACACGTGGAATGGAGGCTTGTGCTCAGTTCTGTCAGTGGAAGGAAGTGAATGCCGGTACCCTCCAGGCGTGTGGTGATACACTACCATTTGGTCACGTAGCGTTCGATTCAGGAAGCACATGCCTATGCCCCCACCTCTGGGAGCTTGCCCGACTTGCAAAGGTCCAGCCAGAGCTGGACTTCCTCTGCCAGACACCCTCCATTCTGTCCCTTCCCTGTGACTTTATCTCAGTCATCCAGGGAAAAGACACCACCTTTGCCACCCTCCCTGTGCTGCCCAGTCTACAGACCACTCTCTTTCACTTTCTTGTGCTTCTCTCCCAGGTGGAAGAAGGAAGGACCCGTCTTCCTCTCGTTGCCACATCCGGGGGAAGAGATGTCAGTGAAGGCCTACAATGGTGAGACCGATCCCCTTCTCACAACGGACTTGACTTGCCCCAGACAGGCTATTCAGTTTTTTACACTCAGTCTACCCATGTTCCATCCAACGGTCCTACCACTGTTAGGTTCTTGGCCAACAGCCCTGTAACCACCCTGCTCCTCTCTCTGGCCTTCTCTGCCCTCCCCACCTCCCATGGCACATCCTGGGAGTTTCTCTTTGGACCACTCATCCGCTACACACAAGGAACCCTGTCTTCTCTCTCTCTCCCCCTCCCTCTCAGTCTAGGGTTGAGAAACTTCCCACAAAGTGCCAGATAGTACCGTCCATGGTTTTGTAAGCCAGTCTCTTTGGTCACAATTACACTCTGCCCTGGACACTGGGAAGCAGCTGTGGGCAAGGCAAGCATTTTTGGCAAAACTCTGCACGGGCCCTTGGATCTGGAATTCAAACTACCTATCTATTTTTATTCTCTTTTCTTGTGCCAGGAATTGATCTCTGGGCCTCATGTACCCTAGGCAAATGTCATACCATTGAGTTTTAACTCTAGTATCCCCAGTCACTTTTCACCTTTAAGAAAAGATGTCTTTATTTTTATTTATGTACGTGTGTGTGCCTACATGAGCATATGTGCATATAGGAGACAAAAGGGTATTGGATCACCCAGAACTAGATTTACAGGTGGGCTATCTGATGTGGGTGCTGGGAACAGAACCCAGGTCCTATGCAAGAGCAGAGTGCTCTTGACTATTGAGTCATTTCTCCAGGATTTTTTTTTGTTTTTACATTTGTTAGTACGGCATGAGAATATGGGTGACAGGTGTAGTCAAAGGCCCGCCTGGCTTCCTGCTTTTTGTTTTGAGATACCATCTCACTAAGTTGTCCAGGGCAGGCTTGAATTCTCTAACACTGGAAGGCATTAAAGATAGCATCCTGCTTCAGTTTCCTGAGGAGCAGGGATTACAGTCTTGGGTCACCACATTCAAGAACATGGTTCAATGATAATTCTTACATGTATATTTAACTTCTATTTTAAAATTAGAGCTTCCTTGTTAGAACTTCTACATCTTGCATTCTTCACTGACCCTGGACACAGCCCCAACAGTAGCTTTCTCTGCCTGGCTTTTCATCATGGGAGGGAGGATTCAATAACACACCTGACTTCCTAGACTCTCCTTCCCCCCCCCACATAGTTTCCTAAGCCCAGCTCCAGGACTGTGTGCTTTTCTGTGACTTTAAGTGAATTACCCAGAATGCCCTCTGGTATGTCAACATCACCTGCCCTGGGAGCTTTGGAAAACCAAGATTTGGTTGATGCTACCCTGAGCTAGCTGTGTGGAATAGGGGTTTGAGTGTCAGCAACCTAGCAGAGGAGCAGGGTCACTTAACACAGGCACACCAGAGTTTCTATCTAGTCTCGGCATTTCTAACATGTAGGGAGAGTGACCAACTGTCCAGTTGGTCCCAGACTCCCCTGGCTTTAGCTCCAAAGTCCTGTGACTTCGGAAGAGCTTTTGGTCTTAGGCAAACCTGGGTGGCAAGTCACCCTCTTTTGATATTGTTCCCCTTATCTCTGGGTTCTCATGACGTAGTCCATCCTGGATTGGCCTTGGGTGGCTATCTGAGCTACAGAGTAGCTTGTGGTGCTCAGGAAAATAAAGTTCTCTGCCCCCGACCTGCTGCCTCCAGATCAACTAGTGATTAACAAATAGGACTATGGGTACAGCACAGATTCCTCGCCGGAAGTGAGCCAGCCTCCCCCAGGACAACACTCCTCAAACCTCCAAAGGGAATCTGGGGTGGTATGTCTCTTTGTGCTTTCGTAATGTGAGGAGGTTTTCCCAGGAAAGACCTGGCCTTCCATGTGCTTCGCGAATATAAACTGACATTTTCTGGGCTTCAGTTGGCAGTGGACATTGGTGCCCTCATGAGCCAGGTAAGAAAGTTCTCAGTGTCACTGTGAGGAAGGGTGGGCATCTGTCACTGGAGAGCGATAGTTCAAATGAGGGTGAGAAACTGCCCGGGGCCTCCAGGTTCCAGCCCCAAACTAATTCCCAAGACTGGAACCCTTGAGATGTCACACGTGGGACCCTAAGGACAGTACATTTAGTTCAAGAGATGAGACCTGCAGTAATGGGGGTGGGTCAAGGGCAGCCCTGGGCTAACTAGGGCCTAGCACATGAACACCAGGACAGGGCAAGCAGCGTGTCTCATTGATGTTTTTTCCATTGCTCACTTCTCTGTTTCCCCAAGGAAGGCTTTTCTTATCAGACACAAGGGGGTACAAAAACCAGGAAGCCATAGCTCAGACACCAGTCAGCCCCCCCTTGCCCCAGTGTCCCCATTGTGAGCAAACACTGGCTGTCCTTTGGCCCCATGTCAGGACAGAGATTGGAGTTTGGAGGGGCAATGAGCCATGAAGGAGTTCCTAATGTGGGCCTGATAACTGTCCAATCAGTTCATAGTAAGCACTTGGGGATCAGTTCAACAACTCAACCTCAGAGGTGGGGTGACTCTTTGTACCCTCAGGTGAGCCTAGACCTTGTCCTTGGTCTTTGAGTGAAAAGGGAACTTTGAGCTATGGGGAGCTCACCTGGCTTTCTGTTCTTAGCTTTGAATTGATTATTGATTGATTGATTTGTGGAGGGATCAGAGGACGCCTCTGTGGAGTCAGTTATCTCTCTACCTGCATGAGGCTCTCCAGGCTTGCACAACAAGTACCTTTACCTGCTGAGCCCTCTCACAAGCCCCTTTGCTCTTCTGATGGTGGTAGAGCCACATCAAACCAGACACCTCTTCCTACAGAGCGGAACAGGACTTACCAAGCCTGGACACAGAGATGAGAGAGTCCTGGCCACACCACAGAGGGCCCATTCTTTCCAAGCAGAGCTTTCTCTGAAGAGTCAATGAAGAGAGGAAACCTCTGCAACAGGCTGCCCTCGCGACTGCATTTGGCACCTGAGGATTTTCAGTATTGAGGGGAGGGCATTCTGTGTTCTACCTGACAGGCAGTGAGTTGAGCAAGCACCATGCTGAAATTGAACCCTGCCCCATGCTATGCAGGCACACGGCCCTGGAGTTAGAGGGAAGGTTCAATGAGGCAGTTCCTGAGGCAGGAGCTTGGGATCTTGCAGAGTGGGAATGAGCTGCTAAACACAAGAGCAGAGGGATGAGGTAGCAACGTGAGGTTTATGGCTCTGGTCTTGCCGGTAGTGGCCTCACGCGGCTGCTCTCCTTAAGCACAAGTTCAAACCGTATAGACAAGTGTAGCTGATCCCCCACACTGAGGGAAGAGTGCAGCTGGGACATACGGGAAGTCAGCAGCTAAGACGGCTGGACCAGACATCTGAGGGAGGCTAGAGAGACGAGAGAAGACACAGCCCCGGCTTCACTAGAAGCCACAGCGTCTGTTGTCTTGGAAACCTCCTGGGGAAAAAAGCCATAGTCCTTCTTCCTGCCTCTGCCTCCCAAGTGCTGGGATTAAAGGTGACAGGGTCAGGTTCTTAAACATCAGTTATCAGCAGGTGCTACTGACCCTGTGTGCTGAGCAGACAAAGGCTCCATTGTTGTTATGGAAACTGCATTCTCCTGGCCATCTTGGATGCGACTCTGCTCTTGCTGGAAGGTATGGGTGATACTTCACTGTAGTGTATCATCCAAAGATGACTCCAGAAGTAACCCCCATACTTCAAGGAATTCATGAATTTAGATTTTTTTTTAGCCATTCCAGTTTTTAATCACAGGCCCCGGATTTCAACGGCTTACCCACTGTATATGCCAGACAGCGCTGGTTTGAATGGGTTTGGCTAAGAGAACATGAAGTTCTTCTCTGTCAGATCTGTACTCTGTATGGGGGGACAATTCAAATGAAATCAGAAAGGATCAAAGAGGCCATTTACAAAGGAGAAAGCCTGAGGACTTACCCTATCTAAATTAAAGGCTCACCCAGGGCGCGTCGAAGAGCAACACTGTAAAGCATGGAGGCAGGAGGGGGAGGGGTCTGAGCTCACAGAGGGCACGTTGACAAGCTACACAGTACAGCGGAGCCATTTGATTCT